TATATATATTCATTATTTATTTCATTATTATTTAGTAATTTAGTGTTCAGCAATAAGAGGGAGATTTAATTATAGAAGGAGCACATTTTCGTGAATAGTGGGATTATTCTGTAATCAGATGCATTCACCATCGTACGAACAAAATTATCACATCACATTAACTTTAATGTCTATAGGAAAAGTAGAATTAATACTCCAAATTGTAGTTACAATGATCAAAACGACAAAACAGACATTCTTATATTACAAAAGCAATGTTTGGGTCAGACACTATTTTTGTAATATACCCAATCCTGATTAAGTGTTAATCCTGATTATTAACTAAATAATGATATATATGTTCATCCTATTGCCCTATCTGCATATTTGTTCTCTAAACAGCCTGCAAGGACACAGCCTTTTCACGCACTGGTTTTCTGTAGTTTTAGGAAGCAATCAGTCACTCATTGAAGTTGGGACCTAACTAAAATGCTTTTTAGTTAACTATAGTAACCTGGTGAAAAAGGCAGCTTTGTTAACTAAACTAAAACGTAAAAAAGGCTTTTAAAAATAAAATATAAATATAAAGAAAATATCTTTAGTTTTAGTACTTGTTGGTTTGGTCACCGTGTTATTACAACTAATAATGCCCAATGAGGCATTGATGCACATGTTTATTGAGACTTTGGATGTCTACAAGTCTGTGAGTCAACTGCTTTCAAAAAGTTCTGTGTTTTTATTATAACACCTGTACTGATTTTCATAAATCTGACATAAGCCCTCTAGACAAAAATAAAAGCTAATCATTTAAAAAATAATAATCAGATTTTTTTTAAACACAGAAACTAATTTAAAAAAAAGTCAAAATGTCAAAAAATAATAATAAATAAAAATTATTGGAGAATACAAAACTATCACAACTCTTACTTCACATTAACTTTCAAATAGAAGATTCATGCACAACCTTTTCCCTGTTGTATTGAAAGAAAGAAAATGAGAGTGGCTGAATGAGAGAAGAGAGTCATATTGCAGAGTGTCTCCCCTTTGAATTTTAAATAAAGCCATTAGGATCTGATGGCAGAGAGTAGCAGCTGAGGCTCCATCTGAGTAAGACATCAATGTCAGCTCTTCAGCCCTGTCCCCCGGGACCGAGATGTTAACCACTCCCCGGTAATCATACTGCCACCACCCACATAAAAAGAGGTTTTAGGTTACCATGTGAAAAGAAGCCAGAAATGTACAAGATAATGGGAAATGAGTACAAATATCTGTTACACGCATTTATATTTGGAGTGAAGTTTCCCTGGCTTTATAAATGTGTTTTCTGGTCAGTTTCAAATATGAGAGAGGCTTATCTGTTCTTGGCATCCATTTCCCTTCAAAATACACAAAAAAACCAAATGTCATGGTATGCAAAAAATACCACCATAATTAGGTTTAACTTGGGTGGGTTTAGGGATCCTCTTTGTTCATTGAGATGCCACAAAAGATCCAATCACTGCAGCAACGACGCTGCCAGTGGCCAGGAATGTGCTGAAGATCGCCCCCTTCTGGAGTGTTTGTAAATGTATTTCCCCACAGAAATGCACACGCAAGTAAAAGTTGAGAAAGAAGTACTATGAGTCCTGATCAGACTTCACGTATGTGCAGGGTGACTGGATCCCAATAAACTAAGCAAACGCTGTGTTTAGGTAAAAAGAAAGCTGACGTTTGTTCTCGTGGTTTAATTAGTTTTTATATTATTTTTTATCTGCATGTCAGATTCTTTTTATGTACAGTCTGATTTGTGACATGGTGCACAGTAGTTTGTGTGGTGAGACTAACTGTTAAAAGGATGATGGATGTGCCTAAGAGGACCACAGGAGCAGATTGGGGGATCTTCATCTGTGTGTCAGGATTGATCTGAACTGTGGGCCAGACGCGCTCAAGATCCAGTGCCATACTGGGAATCTCTCCTCTCCCGCATGATTGATGCCACTTTCTTAAGGACCCCAGAGACTGCCATGGAGGAACTACAGGAACAGCTCCACTAACAATTAGGCAATCTCTGACAGCAAATTGATAAATTACCCTTTAGATAATAAATCTTTCAGACGTCTTATTTTCAAATGAAATAATATCCACTAGGAAACAAGCTCAGTGGACACAACGCTGAAGTAAACAGCATTGTGTCCAATGTTGTGCAGCCATTAGCTTTGGTAGCATACACAGCATTTCACAGCTGACGGTGCTTTCACTCTGTATTTGGAGCAATAACTGTCTCTAATGTTCCACCAGATGGCAGTGAGTACATTTCACTACGTCCTTAAATCTCAATTCAAGTGTTGTTTTTTGTTCATATGCTTCACTGTGAAATGTGCACAGCGGAAATACAAAGTAGTAGTAATACAATATTTTACTGTTCCTAACCACCTATTACATAAATATAAGTTCTGCTGGCCTATATATATTAGTGTGTTCTCTTCTCATAATCCTCATTAAAGCAGTGTGGACCCTTTCCATCTCTCCTCATTGTTTTTCTTACAGTACATCAATCAGTCTTCACTTTCTCTTGAAGAAGATCTAGTGGACTTCCTCCAAGGACACCAGATGTTTCTGTGAGTCTAAAACTCACAGAAACCCGGATTTCTTAAAGATAACAGTCTGTAATTATTTCTAATGTAACTTTCTTTTTACCAGGTTCATCATTGTGTTCACAGGGCTGACTGTGTGGGGGTTCATCTTTTCAGGCATCTTCTTTACATGCTTCGTAGCGTTACCTGGCCTTCGTTGTGACCAACACCCCTTAATGAGCTGCTAAAGTTTTACAGAGAGGAAAACACTGAGTGACTTATAACAAATCAAAAGTTATAATTTGCAAAAACATACAGTCATGTGAAAAAGAACGTTTTCATAGGACACTGTGCAATCATCTGAACAACTAAACTCCACAGTTAAATAACCTTTAGAAGACTTTTTAGGAGCCATAACTTGAAGCAGTTGTTTTCTGTATGACTTTACGAGTCTCTCACATCACTGCAGAGGAATTTTCTGCACAGTGCTGCTTTAGTTCAGTCAGCTTTGTGGGCATTTGTTTAGCAGAGCTCTCTTAATTTTCAACAACAACATTTCAGTTTTCAGTCATTCTGTTTTAGATTTGCTGCTGTGTATTGTTCTCTTGCATGACTCATTTTCAGCCACTTTTAGTCTTTAGCTATTGGACAGATAGCCTCATATTTGACTCTAGAATACTTTGGCATACAGAGGAGTTCACGATAGGGTCAAAGACAACAAGGTGTCCAGATCCAGCAGCTGCAAAATCAGCCCAAATCATCACCCCTCCACCACCATGCTTGACAGTTGGAATGAAGTGTTTCTGCTGATGTGCTTTGTTATATTTAGGCCAAATGTGGCGCTGTGCATTAAGGCCAAACATCTCCCTTTGGTCTCTTCCATCCAAAGGACATTGTTCCAGAAGTATTGCGGTTTGTTTGGATGAAACTTGCAAACACAGACCATGCTGCAATGTTCTTTTGAGAGAAAAGAGGCTTTCTCGTGTGAACACTTTCAAGCAAGTCATACTCGTGCAGTCGTTTTCTAACTGTCCTGTCATGAACTTTTCCATTTAACATGTTAACGGAGCCCGAAGAGTCTCAGATGTAGCTCTTGGGTTGAGCACTGCATGGTCTGACCTTGGGGTGAATTTTCTGGGGCGACTGTGACACTGTGTCAACACACCGCAATGCTCTGAACCAGAAAACTGTCAGAATCTCTGCTTTTATAAAGGCGCTCATACTTGCTGATAACCAATTAGTCGAGTGTATTTGATTATCAGCAGAAAGCGGCTACCCACCCTCGTAATTCCTGTGCAAACACTCGGGGTAGCGTTAGTTTTTCACAGGACAGCATAGAGCACTGTGAAAACTTTTCACACGACTTTAAAATTACCAGCTGCTTTCTTTGTACAAAAATCATATATTCCCAGCTATATTTGCACATGTTACAGACCTCAAAATAGTGTTTGGGGACTACGACAGTTATTATCTGTCTTCTGCTTTGAGTTCAGGCGGCGGGAGGGGGGGGACGCC